TTTGTTCTAAACACACTGTTCAACATGAATTACTTCAATGTTTAATAGCTAGTATGTTATCTCTATACATGATGCTCGCAATCCGCAAGAAATCAAGGTTTTCTTCATCGTATTTGAAATCAAAGAGAGATTACGACATATAAAAAAATTAATTGTTATGTAATAAAATACTTTCCTTTTTTTACGATGAAGTTGACAATTGATGTATGTTGTAGTGTCATAACAACACTTTTATATCAATTGTAATAGCAAAGACAACAAAAAATTAAAACAATAAACACAAATTTGATGCCAAAAAATACTTAATTTGCATCAAATTACGTACACAAAAACATGAAATTTTATCTCATGTTTATGAGATCAGGAACAATGTTTGAACCAAGCTACTTATATACGTACTCTTTACAAAAATAAGTAGCTTTGAAGTTTGAAGCAAATGTTTTAATTTTTGAAAAATTATTCAAAAAAGTATAATTGATTTTGATTTATATATTGTCATTTCAACTTAGTAACATGAAGCTTTTAAAAGGTCTAGTTTGATCAATGACATCTTTGTATGTAAATTATTTGATGTCTCTCAGTGTTATAATCAAGTTTAATTATAGTGAAATTATCTATATATAATAATTAATATAAAAAATATAGAAAAAATATTATATTATTTTTAATTTCACATAAATTTGAATACAATTTTTTACAATGAGTTATTTCATTAATGCAAATTTTATTTATTAAATTTTTTGAATGTTATTGATAGTTTGTATAAGTGAAGATATTGTGTACAAGATTTTTTAACTCTGTGCATGCAGAATAACATTAAATTTTGGCAACATAAGTGATAAGTTGACAATTCAACTAATCCATGATAAATAAATAAAAATCATTTGATAAATTTAAATAAAAAATGATTCAAAAAACACAGTGTAAAAGAATAAAAATAATATTTCATTACTTTGGATGAGATCTGTCAATCTACATCTTTCATACAAATCTCTATGTACTCGAATTTACTTCTATCTCAATTTCCAATATTGAGATAGAAGTGATTCCAATTTTTGTTTCAAACTTGAAATCATACCATCATATTATTTTCATCATACTTCATCAATATTATAAATTAGATTGCATTTGTTGTGCTATCACATCTTGATATTATGCAGTTTAATATTTCTAGTCATATAAATCATGCTGGCATTTATAAAAATTTAAATTAAGTATTTGTAAAATTTTGTGTACTTTTGTGCTTGCAATTGCGCATTTAACTCCTTGACATGTTGAACAACAATTCATCTCTATATTATCATTGTGGTTTTGATATAAATATGTTTGCAAGGTGCAATTTGCATAAATCTTACATCCTAATGTAAAAATCATATTTAAGGTATACATTATTTGATACTTGAACCATATTAACTTGATATACAAATTTTGGGGCTGAATTTGTTGAGTTTAACTCCGGTTAAAGAATAATCTCATGTGTAATTCTTTATAGCTGAAATTGGTCGCCGGTGTTGGGTGTAAATATACAAGATCTATGTATTACTGAACAGAACGCACAATATACTATAACAATGCATTCCCACGTGGACGTAGCTTGTGAGGTGAATCATGTTATACGCGGGTGTCTCATGTTGGTGGCTTGGATGTGTCGTTATATTTCTCGGGTTTTATGTTTACACAATTATGTAATTTAATTGATTTTATTGCATTTTTTGAAAAATAAAAAAATAAATTATTGCATTCCATTTTAAAATTAATTGATATTTAAACTCAATTTTTTGTTCACAAAAACTATTACAATAAACCTCATGTGTATTCATCAACCAACCAGTTTTTTCTCACATATCTTATTGTAAACCTTGTGATAGATTTGATTTTATGTTTATGACAAAAATAATGCATCTTCCTCTCACATTATTTAAATTATTTCTATTAAGATTAGAGACAAAATCAAATGTCAATAAAAATATTGTTATTTTTTCCAACATCTTTAACACAACTTTTGAAATACATAATATTTCTATTATCAATGTAAAATTTATTGTGAAAATACACTGAACAATTTTTTGGAAAAAGTTATATCTCAGAAAAATAATTCCAAATTTGTTTCATAACCTTTTGAATTTTTACAATATTGAGCTTACGTTAGAACTGGATGGATATTGGCCATGTCAGATATTTAGTATATATGCATATAGTAAATGTGATTTTTTAGCAATAAAATTCATATTTTGAGAAATTTTAGTTTTTATTAAATCAAAAAATTAAAATTGCCCAATCGAATTATCAATTGGGTCAAATTTGATTGATTTAGGTGAACTTGTATGTTTGAAAAGTTTTTTGAGTAGTTATCTATTTTTTCTGTCAAATTAAATGCTTTATTTGAAAATTTGTAATTTGTAAGATTTTTTTATATATTTTATATTTAGATGAAGAAGATTAATTCTGCCATAAGTAAATATTTTATGTATTTTTTAATTGCATCCTTGATTATCTTTGATGGCGAATTATTATGTGTTTTATAAAATTATGCCTTTGAAAATAATATATTCAGCAAAGCGTTCTAAACTATGACAATGAGTTAATGACAAGAGTGATAAAAACTACAAGAAATTTAACTCTGTATAAAAATAAGTACTTATTTTTTCCAACCTCAGATCCATTATATTCTTCATCATATTTTGTAATTTAGTTCTGATTTAGATGCTACTAGATATTAAGATAGCTTTATTTCATGATTTAAAGTCAATAGAGTACTAGAAAATCGTTTTTTATATCGAATGAACCTCAACATGAGATAAATCATATTACATGAATGTCATACACAACATGCAATTTTATTTATCTTCAACAGCGGCTAAAGCTATAAGGTTTTGAGTGGTGATGAAATTTGCTGTCAAAAAATGCGAAGCTAAAAGTGGTTATTTTTTGTGCATCCACGTCTCAAGAGTGTTACTTGCAGCAAAATCCTTATCTTAGTGTTCCTATAGAGTTAGCATCAACATACAATAACATCTACTTGAATATTTCTGCCAGATTCCACATCTTGCTTCATAATAAAAAACACTTCATATTTTAACCCTTAATCTACTTTTCTTGTAGTTTTGTCATAACCCGTATATGGACAAGTTGCTTGAAGAGTACCATGTTACTTGACAAGGGTTTTCCTTTTAGCACTCCAAAAGAACACGGTATTTGTTCTGGTTTAGAATTTCGCTTTAGAATTCATGTATAAATTTGGTCCAACCATGAGACGAGGTAGATACTTTCACATATCTTGAGTGTGAGTTAGACTCTTATGCACTTGTTCAGTCCTTAGTATGTTGACTAAGTCTTAGATTCAAAGCATGCTATTTTGTTAAATAACTAGACTTGTTCTAAGTATTATATACCTAGATCAAGACATGAATCTTAGTGAAATTGGTCTTCTAAATCTGTAAGATTAAAGTCTGATATCAAATGTATACTACACATCAGTCTTACACATTCATATGGTCCCAAAATTAGCCCCTAACCTTCGGTAAAAGTGGTCACTACATCTCCAGTATTTGGTGATAAACATGATTCTTTTCACATATACCTTTGGAGGTTCACTTGACATGGTTTGATCAATTATAATTTATGAAAAATAAGATTTTGATGATTAATAATTGAATATGAGATTTTGTTGAAAAATTGAGAAATGAAAAATGTAATTGACTATATATGATTTCATGCTAAGTTTAAATGACATGTACGTATTAGTTGGCAAATTTTTTAACATACATATGTTGATTCCATCACATTTTTTGAAGTTTTTCAAACAAAACCATGTAAAATACGACTGAAATTGTTCTTTCAAAAACAAAATATTCCGTTATGTTGGAAAAGATAAGCACAATCATGTACCTTAGGGATGTATGAAATCCTTTCAAAAAAGGGTGGTAATACTATTTGCGCATTTTGTCTCAAAATATATGAGATAATTTTGGAGATGAAGATGTTCTGGAGTTGTATGAAATGTTATAACGAATTTTGACATGTCCATAAGAAATTCTCCAGAGTGAACTATATTGTAGGAGATGTATTCTATTTTAATTTTTTTTAGAAAATATACTTCTTTGTTTAAAATGAAACATTAGTTAATCCTATACGAGGAAAAAAATTATCAGATGATGATGATGCAGCGTAACATATATTAGATATTTAACATATTATTTATTATGGAATATTGGTTTTAGCCTTAATTTGGAGGAGGTATTACTCGTCCTTGGCCCCTTTTCTTTTCAGGAATGCCTCTGGAGTATCGAAGTGGGGCGGCTGGCTGTCAGGCTTTAAGACATTCTTTGGGTCGTCGTCGTTGAGATCGCCGGATGTGTCCACCCCACAGCGCACGGCATGTGGACTCAGTGGAGAGGCCAGGGTTCTTCTTGATGATATTATGAAGGGGTTTAGTGTCATCAGCCACCATCGGACACATCGGATATGACAACAGCTCAGCTGAGGACACATCGTTTGTAGACATAGGGAATGTCTGACGAAGACTCAGACATCTGCAGCTGCATTGCCAGCACGCAGCGCAGCGAATCCTGCACACCATTTCCTACAGAATGACTTACTTCGAGAAAGATGCGGGAGCAAACATGTTGAGAGAACTAGGGAGAGCCCATGTAGATCCCCGATCGCACGATTGAACCCTGGAGTGATTTGCCAGAGCACCCTGGGGTTATTACGCCTCTTCGATGTCCTGCCACGTGTCCTGCTTCTGAGAGCGAGCTCTCATAGTCCACTTCGGATCTACTGCTTCCATGCAAGCGATCTTTGTCATGTCAAATCTAGTCGGATCTGAGGTGGTTTGTGATTTTATTTGCATCTTCTGCATCAGATTCTGGCAGGGCATTGCTTGCTGGCACAAATCTTCGAGTGCTACGATCTTACATAAAATACATTGGGTACCAGCTTCACAACTACACTGGGCAGTCCAGAAAAATTTGGGTTGAGTAGAAGTAGACTCTCGACTCACGGTCACCTCAAAGAGATCGTTATTCAATCCCGATTTTACAAAGTTGGAGCCAGAATGTAGATCAAGATACACCACGATACGACATAGGGTAGCGGATGGCAAACCAAATGTACAGAGAAGCACATGCCTTTGTTGAAACTAATTTCTAGAACTAAGCGAAAGCAAGTCCGGAACGAATATCTGACGCAGTTTCTTCAATCTCTTGCGAATAACGACGTATGTTGGGAGCGTCATCCTACAGGAACGACGCCAAAAATATCTGATCTACTCTGATTTTCAAGAGGACATATGCCTCTCTTTTCTCTCCTTCTGTCTCTCTTTTCTCTCCTTCTCGAAGCCTTCCAGGCAGGCCACAATTTTGGTTCGGACACGAATCAACCAAGAGCGCTGCGCTTGACCTCCCGAATAAAATCGACCTGCAGATTCGAGGAGATATAAAAGTATGAGGTACTACAGACAGCTATGGGTCTAACGCGACTTCAAAACGCTATCAATGACGTATAGAACCGCGTCGTATATATAAAAGCTGCTTTCCAGTTCAACACACCGAGAAGTTGAAAACGGAAACTTACTTTTCAATGGCCGTGAGAATTGTGCGATGACGCTTTGGTCGACGAAGGCCGGCTCGCAGTTATGTTTGTCAATTTTCGTCGCAATCTCCGAGGATCGACGTGGAGATGTACTCATCGAGCTGGCTACGAGTAAGCAAATTGAGCTGTTTCGATAAGTTCGAATGCCGACGACGGCAGCAACTGAACATGCTCAGCAGACTAAACTTAAAGAATCATGACGTGTAGAACAAGGGTCGCCACGAACGGAGCTCTCCAGAAAGCTGTGGTAGGCTGAAAGAAATTCTAAAATTCCGTCGCAGACGGTGAGAAGACACATTCTCAGCTGAGACACAAAGTTGCGTTGCAGGCCGCTCGAGCCGCAGAGGGCTTGAAGGAGTAGACAGAATTTTATCATCTTGACGAGTCGCTTCACCTGTTACCCACACGTAATCAATGAACTACTCGATCGACCACGCTCTACGAAAGTTGACGATCTATCATTCGCCACTGCAGACCATAGTTAGATGTCAAGTTTTCGGTCGTTGTAAAGGCGTCTCACAAAACTCTTGAAACCTCTGACCATTCAAGATGCTCACTCTTTCGCCGAAGCCGTCTAGGATTAGCCGCTGTAGCTATCCAATTTCATCAGCAGCTGACTGACAAGCTGAAAGTACTAGTGTTGCTTTCATCGTGTTCCAAACACACAACCAGCTCTCTCGATCTCTCTCTCTCTCACACACACACACCCTGTCGTAGCTACTGAAGAAGAGTACGAATTGCTCCTCCCCGTTGCGCCTCTGTAGCCTTGGCTGGCTGACAAGCTACGACGAAGTGTTGCGAGCTTCCTGTCGTGGATGAGATTGACATCCGATTCCGAGACTATACGCAAGAGCGCGCTCCTCTCTGCGAACTAATGCTGCTGCTGGCGAGAATGTCCTAGCCTCCTTCCAGCAACATGGGAAGAAGAAATCAAAGAGGACGAGGAATAAAGAACAATTGCAGGTCGAAGGGGGCCAAGTTCAATGTCTCCCTTGCAGATCTTCACGTGAAAATGAAGTGTCTCACATGATTGGCCAAAGCGTCGTTATAGTCGTCGTCATCACGATCGAAATGCCCATTGCAGCATCAGCTGAGCTTGAGACTGTGCAGAACTGGGAGGAGTGCAGCAGCATCTCAGTCAGCTCGGATACATTCGCGCAAGAGATGGACAGCAGGCTGACCTCCATTGGCCCCTCCCGAGTCCCGGTCCTCAGAGGAACTCCTCCTAGGCTCGAGCCTCGAGCTTCTATCATTCGCCTTGGACTGGAAATCTCTCGCTGCTCCTTTTTAGCTTCGTTCACTTCATATCGGGCCCGGCCGCCCCGCTCCAGGTGCACGAGCCCTGCGCTGCCCCGCACTGCACTACACTCACTAACCACTGGAGCAATTCAGCACTTCGTGTCCATATTATAGATTCGCCTTCAAATTATAATTTCATGTTTTCTTGATCTGGCAACAAATTGTTTTCATACGGACTGCTGTACTATCCACGCCTGTTTCACTCCGGCCAACTGTAGAACGTGAACTCATCACCATTTTGGAAATTCTCTCAGTAGCGAATACCCACAGTAGGGAGGAGGATAATTTCTAATATAACCAGGAGAATAGTTCATGGTTAAGCTAAAAGTATTATTTTGAGTTACTTCGACGAGAAGTAGCAATCTATCAAGAAAGAATTGGATGCGTTGTCTCTGGCGTTTGCTTTATTCTTCTTTGTTTGCTTTTTGCTCTCCTTTCCCTTTGTTCCATGATCCGCTTTTTACTTTTACAATTTAATAAGTTATCATTCTAATATAGGTGTTTAAAAATACCTCGATCTCAACGCCAATCCACTTTTCTCTTCCGTTCTCCACTGAAAGTCATACTTCAAAATTCTTAGGTATTTTGTACTTCCCGACTTTTGGCAGTATGCGATTGTATTCTTAATGATTGTGGATATTTACGTCGGGATGCGCGATATGTAGATCAATCTATGGAACAGCTCCAGCTCTGTGCCCGTACTAAAGATCGATATTTCTCTCCTGTGCCATCTGGGATCTGATCAGGTTTCTAATGAATAATTCAATGCTTCGGTTCTACCTGGTGGCGATTAGGGTACCTTAACTTTCGTCATGTATTAGATTCCTCAACAACATGTCAAGTCATATCCTTACTCGAGGAGAAAAGCACATTGTGTACATCTTCTTCAAACAGGTAGTGTACAAAAAGATTAAATTTAGAAGCATAATCACAAGTGTTTAACATAACATGGAGACTTAAAGTGTATTGTGCAGAAGAAAAATATCATGGTCGCTAGCTCTCTCTTTTGACCAGGATGGGTCCAACAAGTAAGCGAATCCCACACAAGTTTAAGCAATATCTCTTTGTTGGCATGGGAAGCGGATAACTCAACGATGTGGTTAGCGTAACTTCAAGATGTTCCACAATGTTCACCGTTGAGAAGGATGACAAGTTAGGTCCTGCACTCTAATATATTGAAAATAGGTATCCAGATGTGTGGGATTTTTTTTATGGCAAAACAAGTTAGGAGGAACATCAAGTGAATATGGTTAAGTCCTTGAAGATTTTGACCGGTACATGGCCTATAGTTTTGGTGATTATTCTGGGTAGATGGATGTTCATTTTGAGCAATAGACGTATCGATAGATCTATAGATATTCAATTAGTTTGCAGGTGGATGATATGTCTCGTGACAAACTTCTATTTGTTTTTTATATCTCAATGCCAAGTAATGCAAGTGTATTGGAGTGTGATGTAAGCCCTCTAGAGCACTAAGAGACTTTTCTTGATGGAAAAATGTGTGAGATGGACATTGGAATATATTTTTTCATAAAGCTGTATGTTCTGAGATGACTTATGTATTCTCTCTCTATGAAAATCATAATGTGGTTGAGGAAAGTGAGATATTATTAATATAGCTTGACGTATTCTTGTGTAAGCTAGTATGATGATAACAACTAGCTCTTGTGAGAGACTTGATATCACTTGTTGAAAACTCATGCATGACATATTGAGGTTGACAAATCATGTTTAAAATCAGGAAGATAATACGATAAGTCAATTATTTAAGTTCTTGCATATTTTGAAAGATATAATGTCTATTATGATCTCTTGTCACATTGCACAATTTGAACAAAACTAAATTTTGGAGAATGTTCTTCACATGCATGAGTAATATCAATTGCAATTATGAATTGTCATATGTAAAAATATACCTTGACACTGTAGTCCAAATCTCCAATTGACAAACCTTCTTCTTGTATAATTGGTAAAAACATGTGATTATTAGCAACATTTTTTATGATAAACATGCATCTATTGTTAAACTCAATATTATCAATATCATGTTGCAATTTGGAGTTTTTTTAATACAGATAATAAAAGTAGTAGAAATCCATATAAAATTGTTACTAAATTGATGATTAACTTCTAGTATTATACCGAGATTGAACTATTTCATAGTGTACTTATTTTTATTTTATTTCAAATATATTTTACTATTTTAAATTTATTTTACAATATTCAAGAAATCCATGTTCAAAATTTTTTTTTCAAAAAAATCTATAAACATGTAACATATGATTTTTATTCATTTTTATATAAATTTAAATTTTCTTCTTTGGAATTTTTATATGTTAATAATTTTCTTTAATCTATTGATTCAGTAAGCATTGAAAAATAAAAGGAATGTTTTGTCAATTTTGTAGTAAATTCCTAAAAATATTGAAAATATCAATGCATAAGATAAAAAATCAAATTTTGGATCATTGACATCCATCAATAGTCAAAATAAAAATTTATTGATCTCCAAAGGCTGCAAAAATCCAAAATTTTCACAAAATTATTTGAAAAATGTCATAATTATATTTTAAAACAAAATATTGATTACTTATTTTTGAAAATTCAATTGAGGAAGAAACTATTGGTTTTAAAATCCTTCATTCAAATCAAAACATTGATTTGAATTAAATTTAATAGCCAAAAATTAGCCGAAATCAGTAAGTTCAAGTATCCATTCATAATTTACTCAAAGACTTAGAATTTATGATCATTGCAGTTGAAATCGAAATAGACAAAGGTCTTATACAAATCATAGAATTTCTTAGAAATAAAGTAAATTTTAAGTTGATTTCGTTTTAATGGAAAATCGTATCAAATTTGAGTCAAAGTCATCAATTTCACATAAGGAAACACGTTTTTGTATAGTCAGTCTCTATACTTGCGTTGCTAATAAGAAATTTTTGACATTCTTTGGAAGTTAGTACAGTTTACTCTACAAATTAAGAAAACATGCATGAGAATTTGGAGCATGTACCATACTGTAATTATTGGAATGAAACTTGGGGAAAAAAATTCTCATAACTTTTGCTCAGTGTGTGTTTATATATATCCCAACGGATGCTAAAAAAGTCAAAAATACAAGTGAACCTTATTCACATCATTTATGTGAACATAATCCGGATCAGAAATTGCAAGATATATATATTTTTCAAATATATTAATTTTTCTGTGAGTTTGTTACACCATTTTATAGGAAAAATCTGTATAACATTATTGGACTTTCGAGAAGAAAAAAAGCATCTGCTGCATCCACTCATTGCTCACTGATTACCCACGTGGAACTAGCGGCTGATGAGGCCCCTCAATACAAGTCACTAGTTATCGATGAAAAATTCATACGTAACTACAACTTGAGAAAACGAGTTAGGTGCAAAGAAGCAATATCTCCGCATGGTCCAAACTCATTCATGCTCCGGTTGCAAAATAAGAAGTTGACCAAAGAGTAGCGGTGGAGAACTAGGGTATACAATGTGCTCTTCAGTCGGCTACACCTGTAGTACTACTTTGTGCAGAGAAAAACTGCTCTTATGATAAAAAATTGATACTCAAAAGAATGACAATATTCTTACAACATTGTGACCACGACCTTTGAACAAGAGCTGAAAGAGAATTGGAATTCTCTTTTATATTTGTCCCGTTCGTCCTACTACAACCTTGAGCCTCAACCTTCCGAAGGCCCAAGTCAACCCGACCTAACATGTAAATGAAAGTGTTAGATGAATGGTACAAAAGTAAGTGGAGAGAACCAGGGGACCAAATAAATAGAGATCAATGTGAAGACCCTATACTGATTACAAGGATGAAACGAAACGGGTGGAGCAGTTGACCATCTTCGTCGTTCGTTCGTTCGTTCTTTGAAGGACAGATCGATGATTGCAGCACGTCTGTGGCCAGAAGATGACTATCAGAAGTTCATCTCTGAAAATATATTGCACCTTGTCGTTGCCCTAAGACATGGCTCAAGGTTATAATACCTGCCGATTAGTGAGCAGACTTTACTGATTTTTCGGCGAAAAAATACAAAACAGAGTGAACTGAATAAGGTGCTAATTCTCTGGAGGTCCAAATTTGTGTTGATGCAGATTATGAATCTAATGCAGATTTGAAGTAAGTTTATTATCTCAACATGCCAAATACACTGAGAGAATGAACCCACCGGTTAAGTATAGAGTGCAACTCAACCCGCTCCAATTTACCCAGTCCGGCTCCTCAAACGGAAATCCATCACCCTAATGCATACGTGGTAGAATAAGTTTCCTTGCATACGGTGTCACATTTTCTTTTATTAAATCTAGATTATACGGTTATTAAACATTCAAAATTCATTTTAGATTATATCCTTCAGTAGATCACTCGAGTAATTAAACCTCAAAATAGCACTATGAGAAATTCCCAAATTTCTAATTAAGGTAGTGCATGTTGTGTAGTTTTAGACTAGAAATTTGCTTTTCAACTGTTGTTGAAAAAAAATATTTTGTCAAAGCTAAAATTGAAGACTTTGGCAGTTTTTTCTTCTAAAGTGAGGATGGGCACTACTTAAGGGCTTGGTCCCTGGGTTGTTCATTGTCCCCTGAGCAAATTCATACAACAAGTTTTTCATTGACTTGTTATATATTTCACAATATCATATCATCAGATTCAAAGAATCATGTTTATACTGGTCCCATTGAAATGAAAATTAAATATATGTTATTATCATAGCTATAACTTATAAAAAATTTGGTGGTCTCTTATTTATTATTTAGTTTAAATAATTCAAGCAATTCAAGAGAATAAAAGTTGCACATCAGAAGGATAGAGGCTTTGAAGTGAAATATTTCAGGATACTTCAATTAAATTTAATCTTCTTTTAGAGATTATTTTTGTCCGTAAGGTAAAATATAATATGCATACATTTTAAATCATCAAATTAGAATGAAAGATAAAAAATGAATTACTTTTAATACTTAGAGTAATACATTTCCATAAATATTATTTTTAATAAATATGCTTTCTATTGTGGTTAAACGGCATAAGATTTTAAGAAATACTCTTATGTCATTTCATAGCAACAATGATAAAAAAAAATATTAAACGATTCTGTCCAACTAAGGGTATTGTTACATGAAACTGGCAACTTAATCGGTAGCGTTGTTTATCAAGTGATTGTCACTCGCCTTCAGGTGTAGATCATCAATAACATGAAGATTACATTTCCTAAATCACACGTTTTGAAATTTATCATGTAACTTCAAAAATCTCTAGAAAATCTACACATTAAACTAAACTAGAAAATCTACACATTACTCGCGTTTAACTGTTTTATCCGTCAGAAATTGAAAAGCCAGGATTGTCGACCTGTTCTTGTTCCAAGCCGCTGCAGCCAAACCAGATGCCTCAAGCCTCGTGGCTTGACAGGACAGGGGCTGCTGGTCTTCAAAAGGTCGCACAGATTTGATGGGTGCAGTTTGAGTTCCACTGCGAAGATCATAACTTCCGTTGACGCGCCTGCGAATTTGAGGTCGGATTTTGACTCATAAAAAAGAAGAAGATGCGGGAAGGTTGGTCAATTCGGTAGCTGACTGAACACCCGACACCAACATAATATCAGCGTTTTATAGTCCGAACGAAATGAAGGTCCCACACGAACAGGGGCATGCAGATGACAAATTTAACGGAAAGGAAAAGGAATGTGAAGCGAACAAATTTTGACGGTTCTGACGTCAGGGCTTACGGGGCTACGGCGTTGCATGCTTCAAGACTATTTGTTCAGGAATTGCAACTATTCATAATATAACAAGAAATATAATGTGTATCACAGGAGTTCTTCTATTTGCTTCTCGTGTGGGGAATCGTAATCATTGCGCTTCACTTCACTGAGTACGCTGCATGATTTCTTCTGAATCCATGCTTCCGCCTGCCGGTCCATGACTATTGATGAGAAAGCTTGCTTGGTAGGTTGAAAATTTTACACAATCCCCTAACTCGTCACCTACTTTGAAACTACAGACGGTGTTAAGTCCATAAAATCATCCTTTGCCATTGTTACTAATGTCTCGATGAGGGCTTTCGTCACTTGTAACCCCTGAATTCTCAAGCTCCATCGATTGTTGTTTGCGCAAAGTCTGAATCTATTCCAGTTACATCTATACCTGACAATGGGGTACCGTCATGAATCCAAGCTGGTGAATCTGGTGAGCTTCATGCTCGTATCGACGGTTTTGTTGGTGTCTGTAGAACAGTTCTTGCCCGCAGAGGCATGCGAGTCTGTCAGTCAAACGATCAGTGAACTTGTTCCATGCTTTTCTGCAGTATCGAGCAACACAACGACTGAGGTTGCGCCAAGTAAATCGTGCTGTGATGCCGTCAATAGTCAAGGAATAGATTGCCTCTGTTCTGTGTATACAGAGGTCAAATCTAGTATTCCTTCGTCCATCAGCGTATCGAAGATAAAACGCATACCGAAGGCATGCAACATGACAATTCCAGCTGGTTACACTTGTGAAGGTAGGTATATCCACTTATCTCTTGATTTGGATTTTGAGGTTTGTTTCTCTCTCTAATATTCTTCTTCTTCATGTACGATCTTCGGAGTTATCTAAAATCCAGATCTTTGGACAATGTTTGTCCTCATCATCCTCGTTTCTTGACTCTGAACAGGTGAGGCAGTCCTTAGCTGAGAGTTACCGGGAGTGCCGGCAACCTGCTATTCTGGAGGAACAACACAAAATATATTGACGTGAGGACGTGGGGGTTATGAATGAGTTTTGATAAATTTCAGGGGCTTGGAGATGATTCAATGGAGCAGGTTTGGAAATTGGCGTCCAAGATTTCAGTTCCAGTAACAAATGTTGCCTCAGTTTGTGAATCGGATCTTTCCCGACATGATAGATGATTGATCACAAATGGATGGCTTAGACCGGGGATTTTGCATGAGACGTAGTGGAAGGTACGGTACTTTCAGTGCTGAAGGCTAAAACCCGGAAGATATCGCTACTCCGAAGAATAATGTGAACATAGCATCAAATTCCAAAGGGGAGGCAACTGGTCAGCGTTTAATTTGAGAAAGGTGTTCTTTAGAAACAGCTGTCCTTGAAAGAGTACATTGAGAAATATATAGCACTAGCGAAATCAGCCAGCAGCTTAAGCTCGAGGAGAAATGAAGAGCAGATTTTGTGCATTTGGTCTCCTTGCATCTAAAGCTTACTGCATCAGAAGTCGAACTGCTACTACGGATATGACGCGTCAGCGTCAATCGCTACTCCCAAACAACTTCCAAGTAACACTAAAAACATAAGTCCAAAGCCAAATCAAAACCTACAGTAGACAGGTAGCGAATAAGTCACGCCTCCGGCGATACTGTTCCAAATGTTCGTTGCTCAACAGAATTCTGAACTTGGATAATGGTACGATCAGTGTTCCATCCCGTCCTCCAACTCGTGTTCCGATCTGTGTCCATTGTTATCCGCCGTCACATGTTGAAGGTCCGCATCATCATGATTTCCATCTGTACGATCCTCCATGGTTCCATGAGCATCATGGTGTCCGATATCAGTAGCTTCTAGGTGCTTTGTAGCGTGTGCTGTAGATTCTTGATGTTCAATTCTAAGCTCCATGGCTTCATGGGAGTTTGAAGCGTGTGCTGCTGCAGCTTGGTGCTCCATTCCACCTTCCATTGCTCCATTGTGGTCTTCTTCGTGGTCAAGACTATTCGGAACAGTTGCATCTGCAATATCACACTCATGTTTGGACAAAGTCCAATAAGATCACTGCTCCTTACATTTACTTTGTGGAGATCAAATTTATCACCTGAGGAGTCTCTAGCATCATCTGGCGTGGCGCCTACTCAATTAACAAATTGAAACGTAATGAAGGTTGGTACAATGTACGATGTACCAAGATTGCCACTATGATTCACTACATCTGTAAAAAGTCAAAAGTAAAAAGCTGATTCTCATACCTCCACACTTGGTGCCCTTTGGAACCATTCTGCCACACTTATGAGGGAGCTGCAGGGCCAGAAGAAAGTCCACACCTTCTACTTTGGCAAGAGGTGATTGTAATGCGGCACAGAGGCAATCTGAGGTGAGTGCATGAATGAGATTGCAACACTGGCCTGTTGGAGGTTCTGGATTCGGCTTTGCAGCTGGCAAGCAAGGTATCAGCTGCGATGTGTCACAAACATCTGCAACACATATAGTTGCATGAGAAGCCAGGAACATTCCAATAAGTAACAGCATAGACTGGGCAGCCATAGCTCCTGCTTTGATGAAGCTATTCAGATGCTTAGGCAGAAGAACTGGAGGTCTTCGTGAGTTTCAAGTGCGAGCTAGTGTTTGAAACGAAGAAGATGGAAGTTGATGTTGCAGAAGGACTGTCACTCTGAGGACGAACGTGTCCCATTTATAGTGAGCTGCAAAGCTGGAGGACATTGACCACACTCTCCCTGGGTCGTTAGGATCTGGCAATATGAGAAGCCCGCTCGAGACTTGTGGTTGTCATCGGCACCGATTTCCGTGACATGTACGCTCCAATGGCTTCGCTACCACCACTTCAGCATTCAGGATATCTTGCTCATCCAATCTGATTCTCTATCGTCGGTCTTTCCTTCTCAGAAATTTCGTGATTCTAACAACTTCCAGCTCTAGCTAGCGCATAAGGAAGTACAGTGATTCAGTTAATAAACGAGCTGCCTCCATCTCTACAGCTCCTCCTCCTCTTCTCAGAACTTCGTGTCGTGTTCAAGATTCCTAGCATTTACGATCGGCAGACTCAGACAATACGTGTTTTGGTCAACAAGATGAACCTCCTCTTTAAGTTTGTCCTCTCCTGCTTACTACTTCATTAAGATTGAATCGGATTTGGAATCGGTAAGATGAAACATGAAGGGGAGGTTTGTCTGTCAAAATGTGAACTTTTAGCTATGGAGCAGTATAGGCACGAAGTTCTCAGCTCTTCTAGACACATGGACGTTGAAATTCTTTGTCCTTAGCCACTCTCCTGCATAGACATGGATATCAATATTCTTTTTGCGTACTCAAACATGGACGTCGCATTCAGCTAAAACCAGCTAATGAGATTCCGATGGTTCGTAACATGCCAAGGTTTTTCTGTCAAACACCAACTTCCGAAATACAGTGATTCATAGCCCACATCGGAGGTTTCCACCATCCGCTGACCAGAGTCTCTCGATCGAATTCCCAGACCTCGGAATAGATTTAGAATCGTATGAACAATTATCTACGAACAACTCTAGACACGTAGTTCGGTTATTCCTGTTAGAAGACTAATTAGCAACAAGGGGCATTGTACAGTAGCCTCCCGCTCAAGAATTCACCCATTTTTAATTACACATCCCAATTAAGAATTCATTTCACTGAAAATTTCAAAGATTTCATCATAAATTTTAGTTCTTTCAATATTTTAAACAATTTTATTTAAAATTTCAAATATTTTATTGTAATTTAATTATTTTAACATTTTTAACCATTTCATTGAAAATTGCAGAGATTTCACTATACGTTTTAGTTATTTTAATATTTTTAACGATTTAAATAAAAATTTTAGCTATTTCACTCTAACTTTTAAATATTTTAAAAGACTAAAGTGAAAATATTAGCGATTTCACTATAAATTTTAGGATTTTTAATGATTTAATTGAAAAAATTAAAATTTTCGTTATAAATCTTAGTTATTTTAACATTTTTAACTATTTAATCCAAAATTTTAGGTATTTCACTATAAATTTTAGGTACTTTAACATTTTTAGTGCTTTAATTGAAAATTTTAACAATTTCACTATAAATTTTCGATATTTTCACATTTTTTATGATTTAATTAAAATTTTTAACAGTTTCACTAAGATTTTTAGATATTTTAACATTTTTATTAAAAAAACTTAAGAATTTCAACATTTCCAATGATTAAAATCTAAATTTTGATGATTTCAGAATTTTTAATGTAACACATGTTTTGATTTTTTCTACTAGTGATACCTTGACTTGAAATACTTCAAACTATACTTTGAGATCGTCAAATGAAACTTGGATTTTTATTTGAACTATAGAATAGAAAAATTGATACTTGATATCAAGAATCTATTGAAATCCATAATAATCAATTCTATCATGTGAATCTATAATTTCCACAAAAAATTAATATCCTCGTTATCAATACCTGCTTCTACAATTTCTCGATGTCTTCTAATACTGATGTAGTATATTCCTCATTGCTTTTGTAGTCAATGTGAACAAATTTTCTAAATTTGATTTGTCAATCGATAAATTTCATTTTTTGATAATTTCAGCTAACTTAACTACAATCAAACTAATTTTTCTGTCAACCTCTTGTTTGGATTCTAAATTCATGAACTAAGCATTACAAAATGCTTTTGTTATAGAATTTGACGAGACTTAATCCCAAACGTCTTTTACATAGCTTGTAGCGTCTAACAAATGTGTTGGACTGTAACCATCTTTAGTTAGTTAGAACTAAAGTAGAGGTTACTCTTAATATCGATGTAGATACTTTAGTGTGCACTAGTCATAGCTGCCACGTCAGCGATCCGCTCACTTGGTAGGTACAGAGTAGATGTGTTAGTTGACAGTGCCACGTCAGCAATCCGTGTGCTTGTAGGTAAGAATTGAGTGTGTTAGTTAGTGTGTTAGTTGGGTGCGCCACGTCAGCGATCGGTGTGCTTGTTAGGGTTATCCGCCACGTCATCCATCCACTAGGAGTGGGATGGATGGTGGAGATTAGATCTTATCACCTTGTACTTATTGGTGAGAGCTATATAAGGGAGAGGAGAACCATTGTTGGTATCTCTCATCTTCAGAGTTTACGTTTCTATCTTCGAGTGAACTTCTCTCTAAACCCTAGTGTTACAATGGTATCAGAGCGACCTTGCTCTTTCCTTGAGTGTGGATTACCCCTCATGGAATAACAAATGAGTGATGATGGAGTGTAGTCTTGAGAGTGTATAGAGGCTGGCAGAGGTCATTCATCTACATGTAGAGAGAGGTGGAAGGGGGAAATTGTGTTTTTGCAGATATGGACGGGATTGACAGGAATCCAGTACCGCACTGGCCAATTCCTAACATATTCGATATTCACCTTCGCTGCATGGAGAAACATCATTTTCGGATGTACCTTGTGGCTTGTTGGGGTGCAGATTTTATGACTAGAGTGATGGAGTCAAGAGTGCCACTGATTCTTCCAATAGTTACTTATGGAGAGACTTGGGATTGTACTATATACATTCTATACTGATTGTTTCATGGATTTGAATCGCGAACCACCTGTCCCGGTTCGATTCAGCACTTATGTAGAGATTAGAACAGTATATAGACAGAAGAGGATATGGAGAGATTTTCTTGTGAGGAAAATGGAGAGTAGTACTATAGAGCTGTGATAGAGTCACCTGCACATTTTGTGACTCCTTTGTTGAGATGTCACATAGTGATTATACTCACTTTGTATTAGAGGGGGTGTGAGAAAGCATGGGAACATCAATTGATATGGGTGAGGTTCTCAATGCAATCATGGCGGAGATGAAGGAGTTGAGAAAAGCGATAGTAGATGGGCATACCAAGCAGCAAGCCATGGAAAATAAAATCTTCGCATTAGAGAGTGAGAAAGTAGAGAGAGAGAGCTGGAGAGATGGAAGTTGAACCTCAAGTTCAAGCTTTCCAAGTTCAGCCAGAACCAACTCCTATTGATGCAGCAGAGGCAAATAGGAGACGTCTTCAAGAGATTGAAGATCAAGCAAATCTTTTGCTTCGAATGAGAAAATCTTGTAAGGTGGAAGCTTACAAAGGGAGTAGAGCAATGGGAGTGTTAGAGGGATTGATTATGAGAATGAATATTCATTTATACCATTTTCATGTTTCTGATTATATTGCAGAAATGTTCATGAGATCTTATCTTACGGATAAGGCTCTCACATCGTACACAACATGGGAGAGAATGCTTTCAAAACGAGGTGCTACCATTTTGTGGAGTGGAATGCAGGAAGGACTTCTGCAAAATTTTCAAGCGGTGGATTCTCTTCAAATTGCAAGAATGAAGTTGTGGGATCTGAAGCAGAAAGGAGGTATTCATGAGTACATTAAAAAATTTCGTGATCTTCAAGTATCTATCATGGATATGAGTGGAGCTAAAGCATTGGACGTGTTCAAACGAGGCTTGAAAGATCGAATTCGAAAGGAGTTGATGGTAAGCAATCCATCTACTGTGAATGAAGCAATCGCAATTGCTCAACAAATTTTGGGTGCTTTTGGTGTCACACACGGTGAACCAGTGAGCAATTTTAGAGATCCATCTGGTCCAACACCGATAGAGTTGGGAAACCTTTGACGTAGAGAAGGTTTTGCACCAACAAGAGGACCACCACCAAGATTTGGAGGTGAGATTAGGCGACCAGGAGTTCTAAATTTGCAAGAAGGTTATGCAAATAATGGAATGGTTCGAGGAGGAGCTGGAGTTCGTGACAATCGCCAATGCTATGCATGTGAACGAATGGGTCACATAGCCAAGTTTTGTCGAGTTCGGCCGACACAACAAGGAGGACGGCCCATGCAGCGACGACCGTTCAACAATATGGAAGGGATAGAGTATGAAGAGGTGGAGGAAGCAGTTTCGGGAAACGAAGATCACCAGTATTCTTGCCTCGCGGCTTTACTGGTTCTACAAAGCGAAGAAAAGGCGAGGTTAGAAGAAGTCAATGGTTGGGAGCTCATGGAAGGAGTAAGAAGCAAGCTCAACTCATTGTCACTGATGGTTTTATGGAAGGACACAAGGTGAGAGTTTTAATTGATCCTGTAGCAACTAAGAATTTTCTATCAAGGAGTGTTGCTATGAAGTTAGGTTTGATGTTGATGAAGGACGTGAGTGAAGAAGTTGAATTGCCAAACGGGCAAACTGAAGTGATAGAATCACTACCACGGAGTGTAGAATTATCCATAGGTAGATACAAGGAGAACATTGAATGGAGAGTAATTCGTTTAGCTCGATATGATGTCATCCTTGGAATGCCATGGATGGAGCAATATAATCCGAAGGTAGATGAAGAAGAAAAGTGATTACAAGTAGTGGATGGAAGATCTATGGAGATAGAATTAGATCTCAGAATAGGAATTTACCCCTCTTTGTGATGGATACAGCATCCATTTCTAGAGATGATGTATGTTTCCTTGGACTTATAAGAGATATTGGGTCCACGGACAAACCTTACATCCCGGAGTCCTTGAACGACATTTTTATGGAGTATAAAGATGTTTTTCCAGATGATCTACCTGCAGGATTATCACCAAAGAGGCGAGTAGATCACAAGATTGAGGTGATACCTGGAAGTACACCAACTTGCAAAGCTCCATATCGTTTGGCTCCAAACGAAT